GGGGGGGGGGGGGGGGCTGGCAACGCTGCTCCATATATATGTATATAGTTTTATGTATCTATGAGATCTGTCAGTTTACACAGATTGTTGTGTCCTTGCACGGGACTATTGTTTGCGCAAATGTCAAGACACGCCGATCGAGGGCAAGAAACTATGAAACCACATTTGGTTTTGCTGACCGACTTTGTGTCCCGACGTCCTCCCCCCCGCCCACCGGCCGTATACAAAAACTGTTTTTTGTAAACAGCCTGGTTGGCCGTGGGTCGGGTAGGAGGTCCAGGAATCCTTAAATACCAAGCAGCCTTAAATGCACCCCCCCCACGAATTGAAGGAATTGTGTGGGAAGGGCGCGAATCCTTAAATAATCTCTGAGTTTTGGGTGGCATGGGAATGAGGGGCCGAAATCCCCCCCCGGCACGTTGTATATAAGGATTTCCGCCCCCCCGCCCCTTGTGTTTGATTTATAGCTTGATCTCCATGCAACCGTTTGGCTCAAGGCCCTTTTCTTGTACAAATTGCACCACTCATGCGAGAGCTACATAAAAGGACTATTGCAGGTAGTGCAGTGAAACACAGCAAGCAAAGCCACCAGGGACTATCCATTCTCTTGCACTCCATATTGGCATATTTGATTTCCTGCGGAATATATCCAGGGACCACATATACGATCCTCTACTACTCCGTTCCCTACTGGGATAAGATACCCCGGCAGTGGGACTCAATTGTGGTAGCAGGTTTTTCCAGGTCTCCAGTCAGTGACCGGTCAGGGCTACGTAGTGCTTACCACCGACAGTCTTGCTGACTCAGCGCCCTTATCCTGACCTTGGGGGCACCTTGAAGAATTGAACCCCGGACTTCTAGGATATGAGGTGGTAGAGCCTTAGTCAAATTGTGGCAGCGGAGCTGGTTTCTCGCAAGGTCCAAGAGCAATGTCATCCGATGGAGAAGGCTTCATGGAAGCCTATTCAGGTACAGCCTGGTCAGCCGGCTTTATATTATATACTGAACAGACACTCAATTTATCCGTGACCGCCAAGCAGCCGCCATCGTACGAAAGGTCAGCTGGTTCAGGTATGAAGAACTCGTAGATGATTGGATAACCTTCGCAACGACCGAAGCATCCTACAACACAGTCCTCCAGAACGACCGATTGCAAAATTCCTGAAGAAGGAGCGAACTACTTCAAGAACACGCTGAAGCAGTACTTCCTGAAGGGTACCACGAACGTGTATCTTTACAGGCTCCTCAGCTTCTTCAATCACAGGATCAAAATTGGAAATCCTCTAATGAGATTGAAGGCAGCCTGGATGGACTTGATGCCCGTATACACGGCACAGTCTCCAGAATTTCGACGGGAAGAAGAAACTTGCTGAGGCTTTTCCGCTGACAAGCTAGCCCGGGGCAAGGTGCCGGCGTCCTTTCCAGTCGTCCGTTAAACAGAGCTTGCAGCGACCGTTTCAGGATGGACCACCAGGTTGTCAAAGTGCCGCCGGCCGAGTGGTGGTCACCCACGCAAACGTTGACAAAGATGCCGTGAATTCGGAAAAGCATGTCTTGAGTGGACCCTCTTCCAAGCAAGGAGCACTAGCTGAACTGCGTCATTTTCTGCACCCAGCCCTTCCCAACACCTGTGATCGGGGCAGTGCTGCGTCAAGGTTTCTCCGGCCGGCCGTGCGCGCGAAGAATGCCCGGTTTCAGACACAACCGACAAACAACAACGGCCAAAGGCGCTTGGCTTGAGAGAGACCTTGAGTTTGTTCGTCAAGGAAGTTTTTCATTCGGTTGAAGCAGTCCCCCGCAAGTTACGGTATGCGCACACGCCTGAGTTCCAGAAGGCTGGGAAGCTTCTGGCCAACGGCTATTTCGCCTGTCTTTGAGACAAGAAGCAGTTCCTTGAAGCAAAGCTTCTCGAGTGCAAATCTCGGCTTGATAATGAAGTGTTCGACCTGGTCGACACACGAAAGATTCATGTCAGGAATTTGGTCACCGGTCGCTGGGTCCTTACCCTAAAGCGAGACAAAGACGGTAGTTTCCTGAAGACCAAGGCTCAGAGGATTCCAAGACAAGAAGAAGAATGAACAGCAGACTGAGTCCTGCTGTGTCAAGGAGTGGTTTTCGCCGTGTAATCCAAGCAGCCGCAAACAAAGGCTGGAATATTTTCCACATGGATTTGAAAACAGCATTCCTCCAAGGCGAGGCATACGATCCAATTTGTCAGATCCCTCCTGAAATGGGATATCCGCCACACATCGGTGCGCGCATGAAAAAGCGGAAGAAGCCTGCCTACACCACGCAGATGGTGGAACATCCTAGACTCGGCAATCCGTTCTTACGGATTGGTGCCAACCAGGGCAGATCGATGTACATATGATTACTACGGTAAACAGCTTCCAAAACCCACGTCGACCATTGAGAACCAACACGTTCAATCTAGAAGGAGCAGTTGATTACCTAATGGATCCAGTTTCCGGTAACAACGCCAAGAACCAACAAGTTCATGGAGCGCTGTCTCTTCATGTAGATGATCTTTTTATGATTGGAGACGATGTGTTTGAGAAGGAAATTATGGGCCGACTTCCGCAAAGATTTTCGGTTCCGAAGATAAAAATGATTGCCTCTTTGTAGGACAACGCATCCAATGGAAGCGTGACGACAAGCACGGTTGGTACATCAATGTCCATCAGAACGTTGCCATTGACGAACTTCAGGAGATCACCTTTGACAAGCACTTGAAGTATGCTACTCCTAGATGCATACTGCATACAGAAGTGTCTTAGGTCAGACCAACTGCTTACAATCACGAGCACAATTCCACATTGGTTATCAATTCTCCAGGTGTGCATCCAAGGCATCATCTCCAACCATTGAGGACGTTCGCGCTAT